ACATATATAAAAGCGCCTGCATGCCGCATAAATGGCGGTGTGGGCACGTACAGGGCCTTTTTTCACTCTTTCTTCATCACATCAATTTTTAGCCGCTTGCATGGAGTATTAAATATAGGTAAAAAAAATAATTAATTACATAGTTTAGTTGAAAATCACGAGATGAATCTTTTGAGCCTAGTTAGTTCACGATTGGACAATATTTACCAAATAAGACGAAAGTAGTACTATTCATCGGGTTAAAAAAAATTTCAAAGTGAACAAGGCCCAGGTCTCGTGGGTTCTCTGACGCTGACTGCCCGTGCCCAAGCAACGGTGTCCACACACACCACGCGGAGTAGAGGGATCAGCATCAGAGAAGGAGACGGCTCCCATCCCCCAACTCCAAACAGAGCCAGACCATGCGCCATCATATCCTTCCAGTTCCAGAGTCCAGAGTCCAGAGTCCAGACTCCAGACCAAATCCAAGCTGCTTGCGCTACCAACAGCACATATACCACTGTTCCTCAACTCGGGAGAGTGTGGGCGTGCTGTTCCCTTGCAAAAATATATTATATAATTGCGTTCGATCGCTACTATATTTCGCAAAAATTAAAACCGTGGGGAGGACTTACTCCCCACCCCGGTGTTGACCTCAAAAAAGAAAAATTAAAACCAAGATACGAGGCTGAGACGATGATGCATGCACTATTATCATTTGGCCGTACGTTAACGTTCATGCCTGAGCTGAGCTGAGCTGTTGACGACGCTATCTATCAGTTTTGGCACACCTAAGTAGCGCCGGACACGTACAGCTGGCGTGGGATCCGTCTGCTGTCAATCCCAAACAAACCCTAGCCAAATGACCTTCGACGACGCAGCGTGCTGGTAAAAATAGCAGTATTCAGTTGTCACAGCGCGTTTGCACAGCAAGCGCGGGGGGCAAGGCAACAACCTTTTCTGGTCCCGAGCTTTTGATTGGCCCAGGGCAGATTATTTACACTATACACGTAAATGCCTGCCTGTACTGGACCGGACCACACTGCTCTTTTATCAGCTGCTCCGATCCGGGAAACTGGGAGAGATAGCTAGGGTGGTTTAGTATAGATGAGCAACTGTGCGCTTTATTTATCTACATCCTTCTTCGGCACATGACATGCACTTCCGATCGAAAGGATACGCATGGCTTTGATCACTGCAAATGCGACGTGTGAACGAAACGGCTTTTGTCAACATCTCAACGTACGCCTTTGTTTGCGAGCTCAACTCCCTTCCCTGAAACAACCTTTGTCGATATGCTACATACAGTAGTATTGTTTTGTTTGTGTACTTGCGTTTAACTCTTCGGTTTTCACAACGTTATTACCCTAGCTCTCAAGTCTGAACTACTGCATTTCCATATTCATTACTACAAGGAAATTCAAAGCCAAAGGGGCACTCTTTCAGAGTTGCATTTCGACAACCACAACCGTGCGCAAGCACATGTACTTGTAGCCATCAAAAAGATGACTGGCCAGCACCCAGCAGGAGCTGATTACGGGTGTTAAAAGATTTTGCTCACGGGAGCATGCATGCAATGCGTCGTCATGCTGCACTGCATCGTGTCGAGCATTCAGTAGTACAGTACGTATGTATGATGATGCCGAACTGACACATGCGTGGGTGTCTGCACTGAAACTCTTGTAGAGACTGAGACAGAGAGGGGGGAAAACGCTGCTTCCAGAAGACCAGAACCCAGCCAGTCAGCCAGATCATGTACTTTTGGCTTGAGAAGTCCAGCGCAGTTGAACGAACGGCATCCATGATCATTTCATCCTTCTCTCCAAAAAAGGAAAAAACTTAGGCCCTGTTTAGTTCCCTCCCAAAATGCCAAATTTTTTAAGATTTCCCGTCACATCGAATCTTTGGACGCATGCATGAAGCATTAAATATAAATAAAAAATAAAACTAATTACACAATTTAGACGAAATCCACGAGACGAATACTTTTAAGCTTAATTATACTATGATTGAACACTAATTACCAAATAACAACGAAAACGCTACAATGTTATTTTGTCAAAAATTTCGGCAACCAAACTTGCCCTTAGGGACGAACTGTTGGGGTGCTTGCCAGTGCGTTATGCGAAAATCGGGCGGGAGCATTCATATTAATCTCTCAGTAGCACCCTCACGGTTCAAGCCCCGGGTGTGGCGTACCCACGCATTGTTTTTGGAGATTTTTCTCCGAGCGAGGTAAAAAAAAATCTCTCGTCTGCCCCACGTCAAAAGCATAGGTTTGTGGTTAGCTCATCTCACGGAGGTGCGGTGCCGCTGTGTATGGGTGGAACAGGGGTTCAGAGGTTTTCTCGATATGCACGAGAAGATCTTCTTCATAAACTGAAATACCCGGGGCTCTCTCGCCAGCGCTGATCAAGTTTTTTACGGTACCTTTATAATCCAGCAGCAGGGCTTTAATTGTGTGCAAGCAGAAGGTACCAGCGAGGATTAATTTGCACATGTGGCAGGCCTGGAATCCTTGTCATTGCAAGGCTCTGACCCGGTCGTCGCACAAGCAAGGTAAACAAATCATGCTAACCATTCACGGAGTGCGCAGTCATACAGAAGTACCCTTGCTGTGCAGGCAGCAGACTGCAAGGTACTCCCTCTGTTCGTTAATATAAACCATATAGATTTCTAAAGAAAATTTCAAAATATAGGTACGTATCAGCTCCCACACCGATTAGTTTGGAAACCTTCTCACCATATCTAACACATGCCTCAACCAATCCTTTAGATTTAGGAAAGCAATCTGATTGGGAGAGAGAAGATGGCATAATTTTCTTTTTTTTTCCTCGGTCTCACATCCTTTTCCAAACTATGCGTTAATATTGATGCTAAAAACTATATGGCTTATATTAAGGAATGGAAGGAGTAGTAAAAGACACGAGGAGCAGGAGTCCCTGATCGGCTGATCCGATCTGCGGCGGCAACAACGTGTGGGAAACATGTGCTGTAGTCATATTTGAGCCTCTCTTTTCTATTATTTCAAGCAAACATCTGTACCTTTGATTAATTACTACTGGTGTAGGCATATGCATCAGCCTGTTGGGTTGGCTGGTGGATCTCGTAAACGATCGTAAATTTTCAACCAAAAATAGTGTTTTTCTCTCACACCAAACTAGCCAGTAGTAATAATCCACGATCCAGCCACGATCCTCCGGCCCAGCCGAACAGGCTGATGATTTGATCAGTGCTAGCACAGATGCAACGATCAGTTTATTTGAGCCGTGGTCACCGGTTTCCCTCCCTTCTCCCGCGTGTCTTTTTCCGAAAATCTCTGAAGATTGGCTGGTCCCTGGAGCTCACACTACGGCGCTAGCATTTTGCAATGGCACGAAGTGCTCCAACGACTAGCCTAGCTTGCAGACAGAGGTAACACTGATTAATAAATACTCCCTACTTCCCAATTTATAAGTCGTTCCAAAAATATTGAAAAGTCAAAATATCTAAAATTTGATCAAATTTATATAATAAGATAATATCATTTATGATACTAACTAAGTATCATTAAATTCTTTATTAATTATATTTTCATAGTATATCTATTTGATGCCATAAATCTTTATATTTCTCTCTATAATTTTATCAAACTTGAGATGTTTTGACTCTCAAAATTCACTCTCGTGGAATGATTTATAATTTTGAACGGAGAGAGTATAATGGTCGTCCATGGTACCTGTGGTCTGCTGAAATCCGACGGTTTTTTAGTTTTCAAGTTTCCAATCGGTATCACCACTTACTGACGGGCCACGAAGCTGTGCTAGGCAAACAGCGAATATTTTCCCCTTTTTTCGATGTTTCTACGATCTACAATTTAGATGCCGTGTGACGCCAAGTATTTTTGGAATTTTAAAACACCATAATTTTCTAAAATATTTTGATTTATGAGCATCATGGTGTGTTTGGATGCACTCTTTTTCGGTGTTAATGTGATTTAGAATTTAGATGTCCTATGACACAAAGTATTTTTGGAATTTAATAAAAAACATTGTAATTTCTATGGTGCACAATTAGTATCATTAGATAAATTGCTAAATATATTTTTATATTAAATTTATTTAGAGATATAAATGTTGCTTTATTTTTTTCTATATCGCTGATCAGATTTAGAAAAGTTTAACCGACATAAATACCATAGCAAAACTTTTTTTTGGCGGAGGGAGTATAATCTAATAACTCTGTTAATGTTTCTCATTCATGTGATGGTCATGCTAGCTAGCAGTTGTTGTATTAGTATGTATTAGTATGTATAGTTTAGCATCAATAATGGATGACATTTTCACATGCTGCTTGTTACATCTATTTCTTCGAAATACTAAATTAAAATATGGCTAAATTTGACTAAATGTGATCCATTATTGATACCAGCTAGGTTTAGCTTGTTCGTTTGGCTGTGGCTTGTTGTAAACGATCGTAAATTTCTAGCCGAACAGTATTTTTCTCTCACGCAAACCAGCCAGCAGTACTTTCTCCCAAACCAGCAATGATACGAACCAGCCAACCGAACATGCTCGGTATCACGTTGGCCGTGCAAACTGCAAAGCGACGAGGGAGAAGCTCTGGAAGCTGTTTGGAGCGGGCAAAAAACCATCTATGTGATTCGTCGTGTATTTCTTCCGAGACAATCTGACCGACCGTATGAGGCGTCGGCGGGCCTGCTACAAGACCAGGCGCCAACTCTCTGGGCTCTGGTTGGTGGCGGTAGCCGGGCTCTCATTTAATTAGGGGCGTCACTCGCGCTCGCTCGCGGCTCCCCCACTATATTAAGACCCCACCACGGCACCACCTCCTTCGCAAACAAACACACAAACACACCCGGCTAGGGAAGCAAGCTCTTTTCTTCCGCTGTGCGCAACGCACGGCACGCTGGTTTGGTTGCAGCGCCCCCCGCCAAGACGCTGCCGAGAGCAAGAGGCGTCGTCGCAGGCAAACAAAGGCTAGCTAGTCGTGAGCAGCAGCAGCAGGCGGGCAACAACAACATGCCGACCGGCGGCGTGTTCTCCGGGTCGGTGAACCTCAAGTACGTCAAGCTCGGGTACCAGTACCTGGTGAACCACTTCCTGACGCTGCTGCTGGTGCCGGTGATGGCCGCCACGGCGCTGGAGCTGGCGCGCCTCGGGCCCGGCGAGCTGCTCTCGCTGTGGCGGTCGCTGGAGCTGGACCTGGTCCACATCCTCTGCTCCGCGTTCCTCGTCGTCTTCGTCGGCACCGTGTACGTGATGTCGCGCCCCAGGCCCGTGTACCTGGTGGACTACGCCTGCTACAAGCCCCCCGCCAGCTGCCGCGTGCCCTTCGCCACCTTCATGGAGCACACGCGCCTCATCAGCGACGACGACAAGAGCGTGCGCTTCCAGACCAGGATCCTGGAGCGCTCGGGGCTCGGCGAGGACACGTACCTCCCGCCCGCCAACCACTACATCCCGCCCAACCCCAGCATGGAGGCCTCGCGCGCCGAGGCGCAGCTCGTCATCTTCTCCGCCATCGACGACCTCGTCCGCCGCACGGGGCTCAAGCCCAAGGACATCGACATCCTCGTCGTCAACTGCAGCCTCTTCTCGCCGACGCCGTCGCTGTCCGCCATGATCATCAACAAGTACAAGCTCCGTAGCAACATCCGGAGCTTCAACCTGTCGGGGATGGGATGCAGTGCCGGGCTCATCTCCATCGACCTCGCGCGGGACATGCTCCAGGTAATAATTAATAAGTAACTGACCACCTACTACTACTAATAGGTCGATTAATTCCTTCTAATTCTTTCATATATACACACACACAGGTGCACCCGAACTCGAACGCGCTGGTGGTGTCGACCGAGATCATCACCCCCAACTTCTACCAGGGGAGCCGGCGCGACATGCTGCTTCCCAACTGCCTGTTCCGGATGGGCGCGGCGGCGATCCTGCTGTCCAACCGGCGGCGCGAGGCCCGGCGCGCCAAGTACCGGCTGGTGCACGTGGTGAGGACGCACAAGGGCGCGGACGACCGCGCGTACCGGTGCGTGTACCAGGAGGAGGACGACCAGGGCTTCTCGGGCATCTCGCTCTCCAAGGAGCTGATGGCCATCGCCGGCGACGCGCTCAAGTCCAACATCACCACCATCGGCCCGCTGGTGCTGCCCATGTCGGAGCAGCTGCTCTTCTTCTTCCGCCTGGTGGGGCGCAAGCTCATCAACAAGACCTGGAAGCCCTACATCCCGGACTTCAAGCTGGCGTTCGAGCACTTCTGCATCCACGCGGGCGGGCGCGCCGTCATCGACGAGCTGCAGAAGAACCTGCAGCTGTCGTCGCGCCACGTGGAGGCGTCCCGCATGACGCTGCACCGGTTCGGCAACACCTCCAGCAGCTCCCTCTGGTACGAGCTCGCCTACATCGAGGCCAAGGGCCGCATGCGCCGCGGCGATCGCGTCTGGCAGATCGGATTCGGCAGCGGGTTCAAGTGCAACAGCGCCGTCTGGAAGTGCCTCCGCAGCATCAAGACGCCCACCAACGGGCCCTGGGACGACTGCATCCACCGCTACCCCGTGGACGTCCCGGAGGTCGTCAAGCTGTGACCTACGGGCTACGGCTACGACAAGGAGCGAGCTCCACCGCCGCCGCCGCCGCCGCCGCCGCCGCCGTACTGTCCCCCCTGTACGTCCCGAGAAGCATTTCGCTTAAAATTTGGTTTTGCTGTTCTTGTTCCTTCTTCTCTGCTGCTCTCTTCTCTTCCTTTTTCTTCGCTATTAAAAATGGTAAAAAGAAGAAGAAAGATCCATATATACTCTGATTGTTGCAAGTATGACACGAGGAATGGTCATCACAGGGAGATTACATTTAGTTCTTGCTGGATGTTTCACGTGAGCGTACTGTCAAAATTGTCATATCCCAGGGAATGGGTGATTGTAATTTGCTTGAATGGCAAGGAGTCGAGCACTTGTAAATTGTAATCCATGTTGTAACCAGTGAAAGGGATACATGCATTCCCCTGATAGTTGTTGAACCAATCATCTCTGCCTGTTAATTTCCTGTCACTTACTTGTAGAATAGTTTATCCTGTGAGATTGGTTGGGATCAAGTGATGCGATGGGGGGTATCACCGTATCATTGAGATTACACATGGACCTGGTGACGGGACTACGGGAGATAGCGTTGGTTAATGCTTTGCCAGTCGCTGACACTTGCGTAACACGAGCTACTCATGATCTATCCATTTCTAGCAAGAAAAAGAAGTCTTATAAAAATGCGTTCACTAGGACCATGCACTTAGCATTGCACGCTGATTAGACTCGATTGCGCAGTTCAACTTGTTACTTGTCGGGGCCTTCCTTTCTTCTTCCTTGCTGTTCTTCATGCTGATACTTGAAGAGTTCTTTTTTGGTGCCTGGGTCTGGGTGAGGCATGAAGGTCATCACCTAGTACTGTACAACTATTAACTCATGCTCCCATTTTACACGAGACGACTGCTGACGCGGACAGGCTTGCACATGTTCACATCCCCATTGCCGTACTATTAAGAAAAGTCTCATATCTCTTTTTTGGTACCCCCAAGTTAAATGCAATGCAGTTGGCATGGCGACAACCTTCCCGCAACAAGGCTCTTCCTTGAAGGCAGGCTTCGCGAAGCACCTCTATTCCTGCTCCACCTCACAACATCTTGGAGCTCCTCTGCATTCATGATCATCAGCCATGACCTCATGGCCATGCATGATCCCTCACGTCACGCTCTCGGCCATCCACGGCTTCGTCGATCGGGGTACTGAATGCGAGGCGCACGGCGGGTGGGCGTGGGTGCGCAAGGGCTGGCAGCAGCCGAGTTAGTCAGGCAGTTGTGTTCTCGTGAGTGGTGACAGCCAAACCGTGGCGTGTGTGTGGTTCAGTGGTTGGGCTGTGGTCGCAGTTATTGGGCGGCCGGCCATCGCATGGGAGGAACCGAAAGCCGAGGAGGGCGGCATGGCAGCTGGGGTTCGCTCGCGGGCGCGGTTGCTGAAAGAGATGGTGGGGGTGGCGTCGCTCGGCGGGCAGCTACCTTGCACTGCCTCGGTCGCTCGATCCTGTCGTGGTTGGGAGGCGTTAAATGCGTTGGCTGGCGCCCGGTTGGTGTCGGTTGGGCCGAGCAAATGAGCGAGAGCAGCAGCGCCAGCCGCCCAGCCCCTGCTCTCTCCCGTCTGCCACCGCTCCGCCGGGGGTTGCTCGGTTGGCGCGAAAGGGAGCGGAAGTTATTGAGGCGCGCGGCACCGGCGAGCGCGTCGCTGTTTCCGGGGTGCTGGACGGCACGGGCCGGTCCCGTGGAGGTTGGGAAAGGGAAAACGGGCAGCCGGGGCGAGCGAGACCACTTTCCGGCGCTAGATTCCACTGTTCCAGTTCGTCGGAGGCTCGATCGATCGGTTGCCCCGCTGCCACGCCAGCGGGCGCATTCTCTTTTTTTTTTTTCAGTTGAGCTTGGCAAGTGTCGGGCAAGGCCGGGCTTGCTCGTTTGACCTGGCTACTCACTTCACTGTTCGGTGCGCAACTACTATCAGAAGAAGAAACAGCGTTGTCAAGCATTAACTTTGGATCGCATTTTCGATACTCCCCTAGTAGCAGCATTTCTCTCCCCATCATATATCGATATCGTCCTAATTCCAGGCGTTCCTGCCAGCGGAGATTCAGCTGTTAACACTATACGTACAAGCTACGGACTATGGTGCAGTACTACTGCACTCTTAACTTATGCCTCAGCGGCGTACGTACTTTTGATGGTGTCATGCCCGTGACCGTGAGTCCGTAACCGAGGCTGCCATGCTTCTCCTGCATGTACCGGTACTGCTATGATAAAGCAGAGTAGAAATTGATTCGTCATTCCTCCGCCACCACTTCACCCTTGAGATATCGTGACCACAACTGAATTCAGTCTTGCGAGCCACACGCATTGCACGATAAATTTGGCAAGCATCATATAAGCAACACATAGACGGTGCATGCGCTGTTGATGCCGTGTTCACTGTGTCTGAATGACCAAAAAAACAGCTCGGGTCTTTAGAAAAAAAAAAAGAGGCAGAAACCTACGTATCTTTTTTTCTTCTGGGCAAGAGTTGACAACAATAAGCAACGAATGCTAACTTTCTGACACAAAGTTTGTGCCACGGCCGCATCAAGCATTCGTATCCTGTCCTCACACACACAACTCATGAGCAAGGTATGATCCCTGGGCCTGGAATTCCTTTCATCGGTGGCATGAATCAATTTATTTTTAAATTATACAGAACAACACAGACACCCACAACACGCACACACACACTCATCCTATGAACCCACATACGTAAACCCTACCCCTATGAGCGTCTCTGAAGACTAGGCCGGCAGATCTCGAGATTCACGAAGTCACCACAGGCGTCTCGCTGTCGACGAGGATCTCACCTACCACTGAAAGCATAGCGCCATTAAATCCTGACTTGAACTCGAGTGGGTAGGTTCAACCACAATCAACCTAACCAAATGATGACATCAAAGTAGCATGATGCGTTGATAAGGAAAAAACAATTAGTTACATGCATTTACAAATAGGGATGAGATCAGGTCAGATACAAACAGATAAGATACTACGGATAGTTATTTCTTTCTTGGATTTGGAGTCCAATATTGATAGTGTCAGATGCGTCGGATATGATATGTATCACATATACGTAACAAAAAACCAATTTTGAGTATTTGGATTTAGATACATTACATATACAAATTCTCCACACTCATATATGGATTATTCATTTAATATTTATAAACTATTTTGGTATGGACTGATATCAGGAATTATAACTAGATGAGTAAGTTGGAGACGATCCCTGTGTGCCATTGAAAAAAAAATGGTTGACCTGTATGTACCAAAAATTCACTGTGACATCCATATCAACTTTAAATTTTTTCTTTCCCCTGATGCCACTTCCATCAAGTGGTATTAACTTTCTGGTTAGCACCGTCAGTTACCGAGTGGCACACAAGCAGTTAACGAGTGGCACACAAGGAGTTGTCTAAAAACCAAATGACACATGTACAAATCTTATATTGAATACTTCGGCTTCTAAATAATGTTAGATAAAAAAAATTCAACTACAAAGTTTTAAATCTCGTTGAGCACTACACCTTTGATATAGGGTGTTCCATCCGAGATCATTTGAAACATTCAAACATCTGAATTTCAAGTTATAGAACTTAATGAAAACTACAAAGTTTTAGGTCTTGTCGATCTCTTGCAGGAGATTAAATCCCCTTCAATCCCCTCCATTCCACTTGGATGGGGATGGAATAAACAGACAGTCAATCCTCTTCAACCCCATGGTTTGGGAATCAAACGAACAAGGTCTAAAGAGGATGTTTTTTCTATAAAAAAAGTGTTGTCAATCCATCATAGATCAGTACATCGCTTCAATAGATTTCATTAATGTCATATGAAAACAAAGGCACAGATCCACAATTTATACTATCCTAAAGTTCGAACAACCACTGATAACTAATCCCTCCGTCCTGAAATATAAGGAATCCAGTTTTATCCTAAGTCAAACAATAGTAACTTTGACCAAGTTTATAGAAAAAAAGAAAAATACTTAGAACTTGAAATTAGCTTAATTAGATACATTATGGAATATATTTTTATAATATATCTCTTTGATGTGGTAGATGCTAATATTCTTTTTTATAAATTTGGTCAAAATTACTATAGTTTGACTTAAGACATAATTGGATTCCTTATATTTCCTGACCAGGGAGTACAAGAGGCACTAGCTATTGGAGGTGCTTATTATTCCTGTTGAAAATTTTGGAGCTCTTGTAGCAACGCACAGGCATTTGCTAGTGCTTCTTACCATGTAATTCCCTCGCTCCCAGCCAACTCTTTTGGGTCCAAGACCCTCCACCACCGGGCTAACCCCCAGGATCTGTGGTAATATATCAAGCAGGGACTCTTCGTCCCTCATCGTTCTTAAAAAAAAAACCTACTATGCAGTAGTCTTGAATATAATTCATCAAGAGTTTCCTTAAATGGAAGGCTTACTATATTTTTAGAGGGGGCACACTATCCACATTGTTAGATTAAGTCAAAAAGTTCCTTGTGCTGTATCCTGGTAACAGCAGCGAGTTGTAGACCCTACCAGAGTGACATAGTCCATCCATAGAACATAGGTGCTGCGCAGAATTACAATTATGTAGAACACATTAATATGCATTCCCAATTGCAATAGGGAACTTAATAAATCTATACACCTAGAAGCAACATCCTGAAATAACTTCTTCAGACACGCATGCTCCAAGGATGAGTACCGTTGAGATGGAGTCTTCAGGAATTGTTAAATGCGCACAGAAAGACGTGTGATGTGCCCTGTACACTCTGGCTATTCTTGTTGGAAGATGAACACTGCATCATCCACGCCCATCTTTGCCCAGAAATTATTGATGGTGAACATGCATGATTAAGAAGACAGGTTTACATGAGGGTATCAATGAAGATACTGAAACAGTATTCCTTTTATTTTATAGGTTAGACAATAATACAAATTCTTTTACTGAAGGAGCCCTTGTGACTCCCCAAACGGAAAGTTCTTTA